TAGCATAATGACTAGTACACAGTAGACCCTTGATATGTTTGTGAATATCTTACATTTCAAGATGAAGCTGAAAGACAATATTTAGATATAGTATGGTAGTAAATCAGAAAAAAATTGAAGCTGATTCTATGTGGTAAGTTTGAAAGCTATTCTGTGAGCTGTTAAAGCAGAGAGGAATGATTAATTTTGCCCATGGTAGTCATGGAACACTTTATATTTTGGTATATTTTCATTAGACTGCATTTAGAGGACTTTTGTGAAGAGAAATTTTTCCTCATCTAAGAGTATATTTTTCAACAGAGTGTTTTCCCTTATCCACATTTTCGTCATGTTTGATTTATTATATCATAAGGATATCAAAGCTTAATGTTTGGGATATGGGAAGTTCTAGAGAAAAAATGCTTTCCTTAGAGGAAATATAGCAAATATTTTCTTTTCTATCATTATTTCTAATGAGAAGAATGTAGTCTTTGTAGTTAGACAGATATGCTTGAATCTCATCTTTTGAATCCCAGGTTATTAAACTATGTTTACCTCAAGGAAACGACCAAACCTTATCATGTCTCATTGTCTGTTCACAAAAGTGGTATAATATCTGCCCTAAGATAGTGGCGTTGTAAGATTGAAATGGCGTGCTGCTTCTTGAGTACATGGCAGCGTTATCACTCCTGGCACATCCTAAAAGCACAATAAATGCAATTTTGTTTTATTCAGAGGAGAGAGTTGTACAGTGATTAGGACTAGAGTACCTTTCTGGCATTGATGCAGCTGTTATTCTAGGAAGTGCAGTACACTTTCAAGCTTTTATTTATTTGTAAAGCATATACTTAGCATCAAATATCTGCAAGATGCTGAATAGGAAGTTTTTTTTTTTTTTTTTAATACTCTTGTTAGGGGAGGAAATAAACACCAAATCATTAAATAGTATAATTATTATTGTCTACTATACTAATAATTTAACTATTATAAACACTAAAGAGTAAATACATAGGGGTTTTGAAAACAGGAAGATTGTGAGAAAGTACATTAGTTATAAATTTTTCGTTAGTGTAGCATATCTGCTAACTGGACCCTTAGTACAGAATGAGGGAGAAGGAAAAGTTAAAACTCTAGAGCCTGAAAGATTAAAAGCCTAGAGTCTTCCTGGGAAAATATTTTTGTGTACTTTAAATTCCAAATATACAGAATAAAACCACAGACTGATGCTGATTGTGTTGATTCAGACAAAGCTTAAGAAAAGAACCCTGAATATATTATTGCCTGTTTTCCTAGGTTTATGAGTGACAGGCCATTTATTCTCTAAATACTTAGGATTCTTAGGCTTAAGCCAGAGAGTGAGCCACTTCTTATTACATGTTTTTGTCCTTTAAAGCATAAGCCAGATAACATCTGCTCCCAGTTCTTGAAGATTTCTTCCTTAGATTAAAATAGGGAAGTATTCAAGACACTACACAATCTGTATCTGCCGACTCCCTTAAACTTACCAGTTCGACTTCATTACTTGTGATTTGCTCTCTCCTATACTGTCCAGCTATAATAGTTTTTTTCCATTTTTAGGAGTAATATGCTATAAATACTATCATTTTACAGCTTTTATACGTCACTGTTCTCTGTTAATTTTGAACTTCAGATATGCGCTTGCCTTGTTCCCTCTGTCACCGAAAGTTTTTATTAAATGGTTAATATAGCTTTCTCTGGCCATCTTATTTAAAATTGCTTCTCTCACATATCAAATATCCAGAGCACTTACTGTGTATTTCTGAAATTATTTTGTTCATTTCTTTTGTGATCCCACTAGCACATAAGTTTGACGAAAGCAGAGAGGTTTTTATTTTATGCAATTCCTGATTTCTATTGGCTAGCACAAAGTAGTCAGTAAATATTTGTTATGGGAATTAACTTTTTTCTGAGCTGTAAAACAACTTGATCACTACAGACATGTCTTCCCATTACTGGTACTGAGTAACTTAAAATGGAGTCTATTTTTTTTTTTTTTTTTTTGGATATAGGGTCTTGCTGTGTAGTTTAGGCTGGCCTTGAAATCATACTGTGTAACCCTGGCTTGTGTTTGATCCTCTTGCTTTAGACTCTCAAGTGCTAGGATTACAAGAATGTGCCACCACGCCCAGCCTTAAATGAAGTTTTTTTGAGGAATTATCAGATTATTTGGTTAATATAAACTGATACTTTGAAGTATATCAACCTATATATGTGTTCAAGTTTTTTTTAGGAATGCATAATGTTTGAAAATTTGATGTTTAAGAGAAAAGAAAGTATACTCGGTGAATGGATCAATAAAACTGAAAAAAAACCAATTATTTAAATTGATGAAAAAAGTTCACAGGAGAATAAATCTGTGTCTTATAAGAATCACAAGGTAAGAATTAGTCCTTGAGGCAATATGTGATGAGAAATCAGTGGAAATTTTTGAGGGCTCTAATAAACATTTTAGGAATTTGATTTTTAGTCTTTAGAGTAGTTTAAAGGAAAGAGAAGTCAAAATACCACAGGAATAAACAAAGATAAGCTTGGTACATTGGAGGGTTGAAATAATTAGAACAAAAAAAATACATTGAAGATGGCCAAACTAGGAGAAATTGAGAAAAAGCATTAATGAGAAGTTGGAGGTATATGTTGGAAACAAAGACAGCAAGTTAAAAAGTGGCTTCAGGATTATGCCTTTAGGGGTTAGAAAAGTGAATTTTGAAGTACTATTTTGGCATTATCATTGCTTTAGGGTAAGTAATAAGAGCTATAATTGACTCTTTCATCCCCCTAATAAAGTGACAATGATAAATGAAGTTGCAAAATTTTGCTGTAGACTACATTTGAGAAACAATTTTTTTTGTGTAGTTGAAGGACAGTGTTATTAGGAGTAGCAATATAACTATGTTGTTTCCATTAAAGATTAGGTAATTTACATGAGATATATTGGTTTATTTTAAGTAGAAATACTGAAATGATTTGAGGGAAAACAAAATGAGGTGTATAAACATAGTTCTTTTAGAAATTTGAGGACTTTTAGTTGAGTTGCTGCTTTTGGATGGAGTTTATTGAAATTTAAGCCCAAGGCTGCCTTTTACTTCTACTAGTGTTAATCTGGTAGGTGACATGTCACTGGCAATTGGGAACAAATTTTCTAGCAACATATTTATAAGCAGAAAACATATTCTTGGCTTTTGGATATTTTGTGCTTTTAGATGTCTGAGCCTACTAGGTATCTTGCAGAACCTAGGATAAAAAGGGCAAAGTAGTTTTTCAACAAAGTTACTGTTTGTTATCCTTCTACCTTTCCAGTTGCTCAGGACATACACTCTTTCAGCTTCCTGTAGAATTTAACTTTTGCTTTAATGTTAACACAAAATAGGGTAGATTTAGCCTAGATAGTATAACCAGTACTTTTCAAGCACCTTGGTTCTAGTCGTACAAACATGAATAAAATAATACATGGTCCCTGTTGTGAGAAACTCATACTAGATCTTTTGGTGGTAAAGCATCCAAAATTTATGGTTATGCTTTAACCAGAGATACATGAAGAACTAGTTTTCTATTGCATAGTCCTAACAAAAACAATTTTGTGTAAAATTATGAAAATGTTACCATGGCTTTTACTTGCTCACTTTAAAACTTGTGGTTAGAACTGTATGTTGTGTCTTATAAACAACAAATAAAATTCTTGTTTTTTGTATTGGTTGGCCAGGTTATTGTATGTAGATTGATATAGCATGTTTTAGTTTGTATACTGAACGTTTGGCATTTCTATTTCTAATTGTTTAAGTTTTACATTAAAATTACTGTTACTCAAAATTATCTTTTCAGTCTGTGTGTTCTGATTTTTAACATTTCATTTAATTATTAAGCTATATTGTTTACTCTTCTGAGAACCTTTGATTTTCTATCTTTCAAAAAAAATTTTCCCTAGTATTTAAAAACTTGTGTAAAGAAATGTTTGAAAATTCATTAAAATCTCTTTGGATGATAACAGCATACATTTTTCTTTCTTCAGTTTTTTGCTGTACCTTGTTAAACTGATCTCTCATATGAACTTTCTTAGAATCAGGCAGTTCCTGATTTCTTATGGGGCTTCCTGTTTTCTCAAATAAAAATAGAAAAGCATCTCAGAAAGGAAACCTGGTCACTGTCAACTACTTGGTAAGACAAGTTAGTTTTGTTTGTGACCTGAATTATGTAAATACATAATGTATATAATATATGTTTTAGGTTTCTGAGAGCTTTGAATATTTTTGCACATAATATTAAAAGAGATGATAGGGTCCGAATAATCGTGAGAAGTGTTATACTGTTCAGTCTTGTTTTTCTTGGGACAGTGGGGTAAAAAGATTATATGAGAAGTATTATATAATTGAATGTTCCATTGGAAATTCAGGTTGCCTAATTCTTAGCTATTTTGCTCTTTTCTTGCTGGTATTCCATATTCACAAAGATTAATAAGAATTTTTTTTTAACCATTAGAAACCAGACTTCTAAGTGAATTATTCCATTTTAAAGCATCTTGTAGCTGAGTAATTAACTGTTTAGTTTGTATTTTGAAGAGAAGGCAAGGCAGAAACATAATAGTCTTTAACTGGAATAATAATAATAATGGATTATTTCATTTAATTTTGACAACTATATAAGGTAGGTATCATTGTTACCTCTTTTATAGGAGAAATTAAAACTTAAAGTGCATAAGTCCATGTTACTTTAAGAAGAAAATGCTAATAAGCAGTGGTTCTGGGACTTGAATTCATTGCCTGCCACTAGAACACTTGTGAGAATAGTCCTGAAGAAAACCACAAATTATGTTAGAATTGGTTAATATATTGTCTAAAAAGTTACTTCCTCAACTTTTATTATCATCATTTTGTTTACATATGTACTCTTGGTTTAGAAAAGTACATTCTGATATTTCAGAGGACTTGTTTAGGAGTAAATTCTTGTTCTTAAGTGACACTAATAGTTTTCTTTCTTTTTTTTTTTTTTTTTCTTTTCCTTGATAGTAAAAAACTCATTTGATGAAACATTTGGAAAAGTACAAGTAAGTAAAAGATTGTAATACTGGTATTTTGTCATGTTTTATAAAAGTGTTCATATGACTATCAACTAAGAAACTAATTTTAAAGGTTCTTTTAGTCTGAAATAATATAGTTTTTATTCTGTTTCTTAGCTGTAATGTATAATTATGTCTGATACAGATTTTCCCTAAGAACTGAACTATATCACTAATGCAAAGCCAGATGTCAAGTGAAATTTAAGTGACATATCATCCATGAATCCGAGTCTTACACTTAAAGTGTGGCTCTTTTCCTAAGTTATTGGATGCATTAACAGATTTTTGTCCTATTTCTCATTATTTCATTTCTTCTAGGATATTTTGTGTATTAAGATGCATATTTGACCAACAAGAAGGCTAAGGATTTAGAAAAGATGCATATTGGGACTACTGTTTAAGATTTCCTTTCTTTTTATAAGATGCTGTAATAATTCATTTTAACCTCAGTTTTACTTACAAATATTTTTCACTTAACCATCATTAGACTCTTTGAAGATTGAAATATTTAAGCATGTTTATATTTAGTAATTCGCAGTTAATTATTAACTTTTTATTATAAGAACTAACAGCTACATAGATCTACAGCTACAATGTAGAAAGCATTGTACTGAAGGATGTGTAATAAAATGTAATCAGATTCACAATTATTATTATTATTATTTTGGTAACAGGGATCAAACTCAGGGCCTCCTGCTTGCCAGGCAGGCACTTGTGCTGCTGAGCCCTACAGAATATTATTTTAAGAGTGGAACTTTGAAATAACTATGTTCAATAATCTGGTATTGATGCTTATTTAAAGTTGACTGTCAGTTGTAGTACTGAGTCTCGAAAAGCATCATAATTTAAATTTAGTATACTATACTCACTTTGAAAATACAAGACTATCTTTATAATTTTGCTCATGGGAGAAGCTAAAGTATTTGATATAAATAAAGACATCCTGGAAGAGAAAATTGCTTAAGGAGACGAATGAGGAATATTTAAAGGTGAAATGTATGAGAAAATTTGGTGGGGTCACCCCATAGTTGTTTTCATGCCAAGAATAAAGTATTTTCTTTGAGAATAATATGTGTAAATAATAACCTTGACCTTTACTAACATAGACATTTAGCAGGTAGCTAGTTTAAATTATGAAATTTTGTTTAATGAAAGTTTAGTTGAAAACCTGCTTGTCATATGTATTATTTATAGGTCTTTGGTTTGCAGGGCTATTAGAGAAACCAGTAATTAAGATGTATTTCATGCTGAAAATTAGTAGACAGTCTGAAAATCAGTCAGAATGGAGATGCATGTAATAAAACTGTAAGCCAGTAAGAAAGTAACTTTAAAAAAACTGATTTGTATACTTTTCAGATTTACTGCTAGCTCATTGTGTCTGATTCAAAAGATAATTGAAGCAAAATCTATTTCTCAAAATGGATTTGTATAGTTAATAACATACATCGTAAAGACCTTATGTAGATCATAATTTAGCTGTACATTTGGGTGACACTTGAGACTCTTGTGTTAGATAGTCAATATGAATAAGTTTCCAATGGAGAAAAAGGGTTTTGAAAATATATTTGAGCTTTTGAGTATTAAATTCTCTATATGAGAATGTGGTACTATGTGTTTTATCCAGTTGGAAATTCAGTTCTGTCTGCTTAGATATTTTTTCTGTTTGTCTAATCTAGTGTTAATATCTATGAATTAAGAGTTTATTTTCAAGTCTCTTGTCTTCATTAAAAACAATCACAGAGGATTTATGCCAAATGTTCAAATTTTGTTTTGTTTTTGAAAAGGGAGTAAGACATGATCAGGACATACAAAACAAAATGGAAATTAGTCTGTTTTCCAGATAAGCAGCACACTGCAGACTTTCAGCTGCTCTAATTGCACAGTTTAATCAGATTCACCTTGGTTTTTATATCAGGTCAATAAGCTATGTTACCATTGGAACTCTTCATTCTATTAGATTGAAAATTTTTATTGAAAATTATTTCATAGACCTAAAACATCTTCCTCATCCTGTTCTGATTAATGTAATACTATTTTTTTTGTATGAATTCATTGTGTGTGAAGATGTGGACAATTATTTAGAAGAAAATGAGACAATATGATAATGAAGATCTGTTGTCTTGCTTTGAAATCTGTGTCTCTTACATTGTTTTCTTCTGATGTTTTGTTCTGTTTTGTTATGTTTAATTTTATCCTCTTTAAAATAAAATTTAAAAAAGAAAATTATTTTAGTTTTTTGTATCACACATACTTAGCTTTAACATCAGTCTGTATTTTTATTTTTCACTGTCTGATTCTTGCAGTTTGGAATTTTAATCTAACGTAGAGAGTATTGATTGGCTTGATTCAAAAATCTTGTTGAGCTAGATTTGAGGTGGAGAAAAATGATAAGAGTTGGGAGGCAGGTAGTTAGCGAAGGAGTGTATGCTTTGTCTCTGTCAACCAAATGACTCAAAAGCAGAGACTGGTTTGATAGAATCTTGAAACCTTTAATGAATGTTGTTCTTCCAGTGTCAGTGATCAAAGCTGCATTAACAAAAGCGTGCAAACCCATAGTGTGTAAACTTGTCTTTTCTTGAACATATAACATAAAAATGAATGAAAGAAGTGCTATGTCATTAGAGATATGAGTTACTTTCCCAACCTTTTGTATCTTACCTGAATTTGTATGCATCTAAAAATTCTGGTTTGTTAGATATTTCAGGAAGAAGGAAAATAATAATGATACAATCCACCCTTCATGAATCAGGAATTTCTTCAGATAGTATGAAAGCTGCTACCCCTTGTCCTCTTAAACTTCCTCATGGCTTATATTGATACGTTTTATTTACAGTTAATTTTAAATTAGAAATATCATTGTTTTAGGCTATTTGGCATGGTAGCATTGCAACAGTATCCCATTCATTTTACACCATCATTTGTGCTTCTGGGCCATCTTACACATTCTGATCAGAAATACATTCCTCTTGTGTACAAGTTTGGTTTACTTTCCTCCTCAAAGTTTCTAAATGAAGTCTTTGTCTTTGTCTTGTTATCCAGGGCTCTCTGGAGGAAAATTCCAAGCCGCTTTTTCAGTAGTTTGCTAAGTTAAGTGAGGCATAAGTTACATATGAATTATGCTTTCATGCCTCTATGCCTTTGCTCATGCTATTGCTTTTGGCTGAAATGTTGGTTCTGTTCTACCTCTGAAACTCAAATATTCTGTATTCCACAAAGAGGTCTTCTCTTATCTTCTTCTGTATTTACAGTGTACTTTGTAGCCATCGTATAACACTTCATTTTATTTTGTCCTTGCAAATAGAAGTCATATTACTCTGAGTTTCTCACTTTGCTGACAGAATATTTCTTAACTGCTATTTCTTAACTTCACTGAATGTTTGCTTCACTTTAGTGGTTCATTCAGGTGTTTTTCTTAATAGTATTCTTCAACTGCTCCAGTGCAGAGGTAGAACTCTAGCCGTTCACAAGATTAAACAGGCTCTTCCTGGGAGCCTAGCAGAAGTGAGTGCCAAGTACATTCATTCTCTTGAGTTTTGTGTGGTTGAATCAGATTAAAACAAAGTATAGGAAACCTTGAAGAACAATTTTTAAAATAATCTTTCACTAGAGAAAAATACAATATTTACAAATTTGAGCCTGATTTATTTTACTTATGAGTGTAGTCTCAAGTTGCCTCCATTTACCTATAACAGCCTCAAGAGCATCTTTTTTATGGCCGAGTAATATTCCATTGTATAAAATACATCTTTTTCATCGATTCTGCAGTTGATGAGCATTTTGGTTGTTTCCAAGATTTAGCTATTACAAATCGTATTGTCTCTGTAGTGTAAAAGATGAATAATAATAATAATAATAATAAACTGAAAGAGTAGTAAGATCCAAAATATACAATTGATACTGTAATAATGAAAGGGAAAGGAAGTACTCAAAAGAACAACTTGTAGGTATACACATACAACCATATGTATATTTAAGCATTCAAGATAGATAACCATACTACTAAGTTTTTGCTAGTTCATCAAAAAGAGTAGTTTGTGCTGTCATTGTTTGCTCGTTCATTTTTTATGCTTTGATTTTGTAACTTGAACAACTACTTCTAAGGTAACAATATGTATTAAATTAATAGTGATAAACTTTCAAGAACAATACAAATAAGAATGCATTGTATAGAGTGAGATTGGAAGCATTCTTTGGTGTTACAGGAGTTTATTGTGTACGAGACCTTTTGGTTAGCACTAATTTTAGTGTTTTTTAAGCATCCTCAAGCAATTAAAATATTTAAAATAACAATTTAGAAGTTTATATTGTTTCTTAAAATATGGTGGCCATTAGGGATTTATTTTAGGATGTGTAGTCTCAGTGATTTTAAATTCATTTCTGTTTTTATTTTTGAAGAATAATTATTGATACGTATTTTCTTAAAATTGAATATATCATAATCTTTTAATTTTAGGAAAGTGAGAGGAATCTTATGATGAGCACATTATATAAACTTCATGATCGATTGGCACAACTTGCAGGTAATTATTTTAATATTCATAGTTTCTAAAACTTATTTTGTGTAGATGTAGCATGTGTTCAGTAGAAGTAGTCTTTCTCACTACTTTGTTATGTTTGTAGAATATATACATTTTTATTATGCATAGAGTGTTTACGTATATGTAGGTATATGTATCTCCATTAGAAGACCTTTTTCCTATCTGTCACATGTATGTTGTGTTACATATGTTTTAAGTCAAACTACAGAAATCCTGAAAATTTAAAATACCAGTTGAACTGAGTAAGCAGTGAATTAACTGAAATCCATCTTGGACTAAATATAAAAATACAGAATTTTTTGGGTGGTTTTATAACCACCCAAACCACTTATTTAGAATAAATAAATATATGACCTTAGAATATTTCCTTCAGATTAATTAAATTTTCCTGCATTATTCCCCAAGTAAGTCTTTGAAAACTCTCAGTATGAACACATTTGCAATTAGGATAATTTGTTAGATATAAATTAGTATCAATATTAGCATCTATAAGCTGAGTATAAATGTATCTGTTAACATTTAATATTTTCAAGGTATTATTATTTTACATATAATCTGAAAGAAGACTTTAGATTTTCGTATTAGTTACATAAAAATAAAAGCACAGTTTTTCAAACTTTAATGTAGCAGTTCCTTTTGAGGAAACAGTTATTGGTAGGAGCCTAGTAGATAACTGGAATTTCTGTAATGGAATGTCATTATCTAGGATTCTTACAGTTGCCCAACCTCTCACCTATTTTTATTTTTTAGTTTGGGTCCTTAATTCAACTTTAGGCTTATAATTCTGTGTACATCAATAAATACTTCTTTTCTTTGGCTCACTGGTTGTCATGTTCATATATTGCAAGCTAATGACATTTATTTGGTATGCTTTGTACCTAGAAATAGGTTAAATATATTGTCTAGCTAGGAAATCTTGATATTGCTAACACCTGCATCTATGATTATCTCTGTAATAATTGCTTTGTGTCTGTGAGCCACTAGATAGTATAATCTGGATTCCATGTAAAGGCACAGATTCCTTGAGCTGGAAAACTTTCTCTGTAAAGGATCTCATACTAAATATTTTAGGCTTTGCAGGCTAGATAGCCTCTCTCAGAGCTACTCAGTTCTGCTGTTACAGCATGAAAGAAACCATAAATATTAAATAAGTGAATTAATTTGGTTGCATTCCAGTTAAATTTAATTTATAAAATCAAGCAGCAGGACAGATTTGGCCTTGGGCTGTAATTTGGTGACCTCTAAATATGTAGCATTTGAATCTCTGCGGATACATTATAAAACCTGAAGGCTTATTTACCAAATAGGTACTTCTTCTTTCCTTATAACTATTGACATTAAAATCTGGCTACTTGGTAAATAAGAACATGGTTCTTTTATTACAGAAAAATTTTCAAGGATTTTACTTTAATTATTGTACTCTAATATGTTTAAACATTTTAAAAACTGCTTGAAAGAAATAGGGCAGAAAAACTTGAAATTGAACATAAGGATGCTTTATCTCTTATAACCATGTGTAGTCTGAAGAAAAAACTTTTAATTCTCTTCTTAAAATAGTCACAAGAAAAGATTTTCATACTTTTGTAATAACATCCCTTTGTAGAAACTAAATCATAAGTATAACTTTTATGTTTTCCTGTTGGTCTGTGTTACAGTTTTTCAGGTATGCACACCTCTTGTTAAAGATAATCTAGGTTATATTATGAAAATGCACATATTTTGGTGCAGTGATGAATTCAAACAATTGAAACTTGGAGTTGTCTTTAATTTAATAATCGTTGTGTTAGTTAGCACAGTAAATTAGTTGGATTGTTTCCGCCTTTAGGGATAATACATATGTAGAGTAGGCCTTCTTATTTACCGAGCCATGGTTTTTCTGCACAAGCTTACAATTTGAAAACAAGAAAAGAAAATGTGTTCCTACCTACATCAAAGTGCATTTAAAGATTTAAAGATTTCTGTAAGGATAGTTGTTTATTTATGTTAATTACTGGAATTTTCTATAGAAAATATAAACAATATTGGTTATCATCTTTCTGATTATAACAGTATAATATTACTTATATAATTGGTAAAAGATTTTGAATTAATTATAGTTTTCTTCTATTTTAACATTGTACTGATTCAAAATAATCTGCTAATTTTTCTAGGAGATCATGAATGTGGCGGTTCTAGTGAAAGAACACTTTCTGTTCAAGAAGCAGCTGCATATTTAAAAGTAAGCAGTGAAATTAGAATTTTAATAGTTATATTCTTAAAATTTATATAAGTCATTGCTACTTGTATAACATGCATCATACATTTAATTTGTTAAAAAAGTTCAGCTGTTTGGTATAATGTGAATATGCAAGTAGGTAAGAGAAAGTGAAATTGCCCAACATTTTTTTTGTTTTAGTCTACTTTATAACATTCTGTCTTGAGAGAACATACATTATTTTCAAAAGGTAAAAAACTATTGGTGAGTTAAGCCTGTAGTTCCACTTCAGATGCTGAGGCAGGAGGATCACCTAGAGCTCAAGAATTTGAGGCTAGTCCCTGATCTCAAAAAAAAGGAAAAAGAAGAAAAATAAACTGATAAGAGGGAAATTGAGGAAGGTAATTAGCATATAAGAAATGAGTATGGAACCAGGGATGGCAGTACATGCCAGTAATCCCAGCATTCTGGGAGACTGAGACAGGATTACATGTTTGAGCCTAGCTTGGGCAATTTAGTGACTTAGCAAGACCCCATTTCAAAATAAAAAATTTTAAAAGGATTAGGGTATAACTCATTTGGGTTCAATCTTCAATACTTCCTGCCCCCACAAAAAAGAAAAGAAAAGAAACAGAAAAGATTTATGCCTCTTAACCCAGTGATGATGAACCTTTTACAGCTTTCAACGATACAGACAGCCTACTCTGGCACATGGCTGAAGGCTCAGCACCACTGCTTCTAACCAGTTATTTTAAATCTTATTCCTAGATTGATTATTGTATCTCAGAGTAGGAAAGGAATTTACCGATGAATCTTCTAAACTGCTATAGAAAATCTTTGGGAAGTTTTGGATGAATAAAATGTACTGCAGGATTGAAGATGGACAAATGTAATTCTGTTTTCTAAAAAGAGGAAAGGAAAATTTGAAAACTACTAGAAAGCTCTATGTTACTGCAGTTTCATAAAGAAAATTCCATTGAGACTGTTGAATACTTGCAAATAAAAATGTTAATTCTTAGGAGTTGGCTGGCATGAATTTAGTGTAAGTCATGTAATGTAATCATAAAAAACTAATAAAGTATACCTTACATTTTTGAATGTACGGTGTAGCATTGTTACCTATGCACTGTTGCACATCAGATCTCTAGAATTTTTTCATTTTCATAACTGAAACACTTATCTGTTACATCAGCATCCCAACTTCCCATTTACCTTTCCCCGAACTTCTAGTAACCACCAGTCTACTTTTGTTTTTATCAGCCTAATGTTAGATATCTCATATAAATAGAATCATGCAATATTTTTTCTTCTGTGGCTGGCTTATTTCATTGAGCATAATGTCATCAAAGCTTACTTATATGGTAGCACTGAGACTGAGTAATGTTCCGTCATATTTACAGAGTCTGCCAAAAAAAAATGTATGCCCTCTTCAGGAAAATAAAAACTTGTTTAAATATTTTAATGCTAAATTTACTGAGACATCATGAGATTAATACGTTACCTTTGGCCTCTGCATTTACAAGAGGTGCTCAGCGTGATGGTCATTGGCTTCCAGAAATGTATTAGAACAGCAAACTGCTGTTTGGATAATCTTGGTCATTGAGATTCCTGTACATGCATTTCCAGTGTCTTCTCTAAGGGCCAGCAGTGCAGTGGATTTTGTGTAATATACCACATCCTTTAGGGTTCCTCATTTGAGGAGGACCCATTTATTTAAAAATATCATGCTAGTTTTTCTTTTCCTGAAGTGTATATACATTGTTTTTTGGTGGACTATGTATACAAATACACACATACATTTTTGTCATCTGCTGGTAGATTTGTAAGTTTGGTATTTTCTTGCCTAATGAACATAGGAATGTAAATATGTCTTCAAGATACTTACACCAATTCTTTTGGATAAGTTTCCAGAAGTAGAATTGTTAAGTAATTTGGTACTTTTCTTTTTTGAGGAACCTATACACACTTTTTCCATAATGCCTCTGTTTACATTCCTACCAACACTATACAGGGCTTTCAGTTTTCTCCATATTCTTAACATTTGTTCTTTTCTGGGGTATTTTATTTTGTTTTGTTTTGTTTTTTTAGATACTTTTACAGGTGTGAATTGGTATCTCATGTGGTTTTGATTTCCATTTCACTGCTGATCATCTTTTCATGTGCCATTTCTATATACTATATACATCTTTATATGCTTGTACCATCTGTTGACATTTGTATGCTTTATTTGGAAAAAAGCTGATCAAGCCTTTTGCTCATTTAAAAAAATGGAATTATATTTTGTTATTGGGATATTGTGTAATGTCATGTATTTTGTTAGTATTATATATTAATATTAGCTATATGGTTTGCCATTATTCTCTCATTCCATAGGTTCTTTTGCACAGTATTCTTTATTTCGTCGCCATAGACTTCTTAATTTATTATAGTTCCATTTATCTACTTATGCTTTTGTTCTTTGTGCTTTTTATGCTATATCTAAAAATCCACACTTCACACCAGTGTCATGACACTCCTCCCCCCATATTTTTTTCTAGTTTTATATTTTCAGGTGTTATATTTAAGTCTTTAATCCATTTGAGTTGATTTTTGTGCATAAGGGTCTGTCTTAGTTACTTTTCTTGTTGAGGTTTATTGAATCTCATAGTTTATAGAGGTTTTAGTTTATACTCAGCTGGCTCTAAGGCAGGGTGGATGGCAGAGGGACATTGCAGAGGAGAAACAGTTCATGGCAGGCAAAAAGCACCAAAGCAGCGAAGTAGTGAAGAAGCAGCAAGTGGTAACAGCACCCCTTTTCTGGCCCTTATAATCTATTTGGGCTACACACCCTTAGGATGGATTGCATGCACACCCACAATGGAACACTTTTAATCCTAGCATCATACCACAAATCAGTGCCAATGTCACTTCCTTAATCACAGCATCACACACCCTAAAGACAGCCATCTCTGAATAGCTCCAACTGTGGCTGTGTACAACTTAGGGGGAACATTTAGACACAAGCCCCAAAGTTGTATATACATCCTTTTATGCATAAGGCATTTAATCCATCCCCAAGAGCTGTCATAGTTCGAACAGTTTCAGCATTGTTGGAAAGTCCAAATTTAAAGTCTCTTCTGAGATTTAAAACTCTTATCTGCAAGCCTCTGTACAAATGGAAAGAAAGTTAAATACTTCCAATATGCAGTAGCACAGGATAGATATTTCCATTCTAAAAGGTACAGAGAAGGGGATAGAAAGGAATGGAACAAATGCAAGTCTGAAATTCGTATCGGGTAAACATTTAGTCCTGTAGTTTTGTGTCCACCATTTGGAGTAATCTGTGGAAACATGTAACCTCTGATGGGCTTGGGTGGCTCCATGTCTGTGACATTGCCAGTGGTTGTAACTCCCATGACTTTTCTCTTGGACTGGTTCTGCTCCCTGCTTGCAGTTTTCCTCAGATGATTGACATTCCTGGCTTCTTCAGACTTCTGGAGTGCACTTTCAGCTTCACAGTCACAGCTTCCCACACTGCCCTCTAAGGGACACACTGCTTGGCCTCCCAGACCTTTTGCAACCTGAATAGAACCTTCCTGACTACACAACTCATGTATTCTTGTGGATCTAAAATCAATGCCATGTGGATGGTGCCAAGGTCTGCTGCCAGTTACAGCAGTATCTAGGCTTCCTTCTTTCTTGGCTGTAGGAGTTGAGTTCCTGGATCAGTGAGCATTTTCAAGCCAGTCCCTAGGAGCAAATTCCGTAGGCTGCCGCCATTCTGGAACATGGTGCACTGAGGCTTCTCAAAACAAAGTCTTTCACCTTTGTAGTTTTGAGGCTGCAAAGGATGGAGTCCTGCTAGTTATTGTGATTCCTCAGACCGTTCTTTCTATTGTCATCTTCTTTCTCAGCAACCAAGCTTTTCTTCTGTATCCTTGCAGTCTGAAGCTTTACTGGAGCTTCCTTTCTGGCAAAATTCACAGTGTTTTATATGAGTTTGTTGGGCTCTTTACTACTGATTCTCAGCATCCATGTGGCTTAAAAGCCCCCAACAGTAGCCATGCCACCACCTCAACACCACCGTGAATGCCTTCCACAAGATTAATCAGTACATTGCGGTTAATCTTAGGTTCAAGCAAAGTCTCTGAGCATGAACAAAATGCAGCCAAGTTTTCTACCAAAGCATAATACACATGATTTGGAGTCCAATAGTCATTGTGGTCCTTGTTCCTACTGAAACTTCCTGAGCTTGGCCTTTATATGCTACATTTCTGTCGGCATTCTGGTCTTCTAAGCTCCAACAAGAATCTCCCATCAAGTTTGACTTACAGCATTCCAGGGCTGCTTCTTTAGCCAGCATCTCCAAACTTTTACAAAATCTTCCCATAAGCCAGGTCCACATAGTCAGGTATAGTCACAGCAGTTACCCCACTCCTGTTACCAAAATCTGTTCTAGTTACTTTTCTTGTTGCTGAGAAAAAATATCCAACCCCTAAAGTTAAAAAGTTTTTTGTATCTCATAGTATGTAGAGGCTTCAATTTATAGTTGGCTGGTCCAAAGCAGGTTGGTATGGCAGAGGGGCATCACAGGAGAACCAGTTCATGATGAGTCAAAGGCAGCAAAGTATCAAAGAAGCAGCAAGTGACAACAGCTGCTCACTTTCTGCATGCCCTCAGGGAACATAGCATTCACCTTCAGAGTGGAGCATGCTCAATCCTAGTATTGAGCTATGAATCAATTCTAATATTCTTAATTCCAACATCACACACTCTAGATCATGCCACCTCTGAATAGCTCCATTTATTACAACATGAGCCTTTGAAGAAATATCTAGATACAAGCCTTAATAGGGTCCAGTGTCATTCTTTTGCATGTTGAAGTCCAGTTTTGCCAGTACCATTTATTGAAGAAAGTGTTCTTTCTCTGTTATGTAGTCTTGACAACCCTGATGAAGATTATTCAATCATATGTGAGTAGTTTCATCTTTGGACTTTCTATTCTGGTTTTCCTTTTGGGGAGAGGTGTATGCCAGGATGTCTAT